CTTTGTGTAGCTTTCCCGTTCTGTTTCAAATTTTTATCTTGTTCGTGGATAGTCTGTTTCTTATGATAGCTAGCAGAGTGAAAAAAGGGCGGTCGCAGGTTTAGAGCATCCTATAGTCGCGACTCACAAAATGATTGAAAGGCCCATATGGACAAAAATTGGCTTGGCATAAGAGGATTCAGTGATTAATTAGAAAGCTGAAAATGATTTAAATCAATACGTCGAACTTACAGGATTGGTTAGATCAATCCAGTCATTGGTTTTGGACTCGACAGGGCGACCATCTATCCACATCTTCACCGTCTTATCGGTAAGTGCAATTCTGCTCGTTGAAAGGAAGGCATACTGCTGGCCAATGGCTTGAGCCTGTAATCAAAGTTCATATGAACAATAGAATTTCGAATCTAGTGTAATAGTTTCCAAAAGCTGAAGTACTCTGTTCTTTCATTGTCTCTTTTGTGTAAAACCACAGTAGAAACAGAAACAAAACTGCATCTTAAGAATGTCGAACATGAAGACTGAGTATAGTTTCCATGAGTTAAATGAACAGGTTTGAAGACTTTATGTGAGGACTACATGGGATCTCGAAAAAGGTTCGGCTATTCATGCCCGGGTATCCCTAAAATGAGGAGGCCATAGGTGAACATGATAACAGAAAATTCTACTTTTTGGAAGAAACTGGAAGTATTGGCTACTTCCTATATCCTCTTTAAGCAGTATAAAGAACCACAACTCGGATAATGAAACAGTAAGTCGTTCAGGTCAGCACGAAGTGGATTGGACTTAGCGGCCAGTTACGGAGGAAGGAGGCAGGGGTGCGCACAAGGAAAGCCTCAACTCCATACATTCGTACAATCGAAGGCAGCACACATAAAGGGTAGCGATAAAATTTGTTGCGTATCATAACAGATTGCTTCTTGTTATCTCAGAACGTATGAGGACGAGCTACCGGAAAACATAGAGGAGTTATATAGTCTAACGGTAGTATTTTACGTACCTGTAGCCTTACTAACCGCGAAAGCATTGTGCTACCAGGAATCCCTGAAACGGAGAACAGGTAATAATGGAATATGAGGAGTTAAAGGAGCAACGCTAAACGAAAAACTGCTCAAAAATCATGAATGCTAATTGTTCTTCGAAAACAAGAACTACGAGGCAGTGAAGTGGGGTAGAGTGTAGCAGTGGCTTCGAGAACAGACAGTCGAGGGTTCCAGTCTGTTCCAGTATTCCTGACCTATCAGGAACACCGTTGAAATGTGAATGAGGTTGGTTATGGGCGGAGAGCAGGTTGGACACTGCGGAGGCTGGAACTCTTTTTTAAAAACAGTGGTAGATGCACCTCAATCGTTTGTCTTTTGAAACGCCCAACAGAGTGTAATGAATAAACTGGCCCAACAAAAGTTTTCTACTCTCTCTATGAATACATGTATATGGCACCGTGGAATTTAAATATATCTTAGTTGGTGGAGACCTGAAAAATCTTACAATTTTCTCCCAGCCTACGGTCTCAAAATGGCTGCCAAACCAGAAAAGAGATAGTGAACTTCTGCTCAACAAGAGGGCTTGAAGCTTGTCTTCTGAACATTAATTCAATCCCTAACAGTCAAACTTAGGGTGATGCTTTGATGCCAGTAATAAAGTGTTTGAAATTACATTGATTGCACATCAGCAATCTGTGCAGATTATTACTGATGCAATCTTCGTGCTGAGCTTTGGTCGGCGAGAGCGATGGTAGCCCACTCAGCTTCAATCTGAAGTAACTTCTTTTTATGAATGGACGTTATAATATAGTTTCCTCATAAAGCTTTGAGTGGCAGTATGTTTCGAGCTTGAGCTGAAGGAATTTTTCGTCCACAGTAATTGAATTCGTCCCGTCTAGGAGCAGATGAGTATGACTTGCAAAGCGATTTCACAAAAGAATCGTAATGAAGTAGTTTACAGTATTTCGTTAGAGTCCGTCAGTTCATCTATTCAAGTTGTTGAAGTTATAACTGTAGCTAAGGTCCTAAGGAGTGGAGGGATTAACCGATCTATAACCAAACACTTTTTACATTTAATGCTCATTGTGACTGTGATCGTTATCGCCTTCTTTTGGAATGATCACGTTAGCAATAACCCTCATCAATTGTGAGGTTGGCGGTGATTAATGCGAAACTATGTATTGGATAAAAACGGTGCTAATTGTTGCCTCTGGCGAATCCAGGTTTCCTGGGAACTCTTGATACGAATCGTATGAAGTCGCAGTTCAAGCCTTGAATCTAGCTACTATTCCTCCTTCCTTACTCAGTTTTCTTCTCCCTACTGTTCATCCAGCACAGTTAAGGATTCACTGCTCCATACTCGGCACATGCCGTACGATTGCTCGTGCTTCTCCAAAAATTTCCGAAGCGCTTGGAAACTTCGTTAGTCAATCTCTGACTACATTGATCAATGCTGTTCCGTAGTTTCATGAAACCGATCTAAGCATAGATGACTCAGAAATAGACTCGGTTGAGGGCCCAGGTTGAACAAAGGTTTACACAGATGGGATTTAATTATAAGTGCGGAGTGTTCCTGATTTTCTGCGGTACATCCAGCTCTTGGTGACCTTGTCGCTGTTACCATTTTCTCTTTTCGTTCTGGATGGTATTGCACTTAGAGTAAGGAGTTGATTTGGTCATAAACTACTATCCACATTCAGTCACTGCAAGGTAAGGATCTGCCACCAACAATTTATAAGCGTTCCCCGTTGCATTTACTTAGTAATGCTGTGCCAGAAAAATTGCCATTTTATAAGATAATGTAAATGATTGACAACGGAACTTGGTCTATTTATTTTTCTCCTTACTTAAATGAAAGGAGAGTGTATTCAGCGTAAAATTCTCGTTAGTTTTTTGTCAGATTCCCTGGCTGTGTTCGTGAAAGAAACATTTTAAAATTGCTCCGCAAGGGGAAAACTCATCTATCTTAAACTCATGATAAACAACTCTACATAATGGCTTCTGAAACTTCTTGATCCAACGGGCTGACTGCAAAAAACTAAAAGCCGAGAAGCCTTTCTATCGTTTACAATGAGGTGAAATTCATTGTTGGTTACTCGTACTCCTGTTGTTCATGAGCTCCTTTCATTGATTGAGCAAAAATCTTCTGTATTGAGGTGTTGTGTTATTGCATAACTTCGACGAGAGTCTTTCAGGTATGTACCTTTTATCGCTTTGCGGTAAGACCCGCTCTTGGTGACCTCATCGGTGGTACCTAATCTTGCATTATTGAAATTTTGAAGATGTTCCACTCAGGTTTGGGAATTGATTTTGCAACAGTTTGAACAGGATTTTGAATGTACCAAATCACACAAAAGAAAGACCTATTATCGGCCGTCTATTATTTAAGGCTCCTGCACGTTGTTCTTCGTAATCTACAGATTGCGCCGTGAATATCGTCACTTGATAAAAGGCGATGCATATTCCCGAACCTAATCACGAAACAACCAAAGTTTGACAGTATTCACAAGTCACTTGATCAAAACGATAAAAATTGCGCCCATTCATGATGTCCTCCCACGACACGATCCACGGCCCTCAGGTTTTCAACGTATGTAGGCAACTCTATGGCAAACATGCTTATAGAAATCCCTCCTACTGAGCATTACATTCTTTACATAGTAGTGTCCCTTTCGCCTCATCTAAAAACATATTCGCTCCACAGAAGGTGGCCAGTTTTATGTGGTAATTCAGCGTCGGACGATGATAGGAATAGAGAGATCTACTCGTTTGTAACCAAAGATCATGGTTCCTCGATTATTAGGGGTTAAGATCTGCATAAAAAACAACATTGAAAGAATATATATGTATATGTTAAAGTTGCAAACTGCACAATTTGAAAAGTAACTTTTATAAAAATGAAAAATTTCCAAAATATAAAGATAAAATCGTGCATTAGGTAGAAAACAACATATGTTGTGATATTCGGAAAGGTCCTTTTCCTTGCTAAGGCACAAATCAGAAATCCTGACCTCTTTCATATCTTTCAAGAGTTCAAGTGTCTGCTCCTCTAGAACACTTCTGAAGGATACGGCTACATAGCGGATTGCTCTGTATACTGTGTCAGGTTGTTTCTATATTTGTAAAAGAGGAGCTACATACGTAAACTGCTGTTTGTAAAGCTAGACCTGCCATTAACTACACTCCTTCAGTACTGGTTCTATGAAATCAATCCTCAAATCTTCGCCAGTCATTTGAACAAGTGATCCATAAGTTTCAGTTGCCGACTTATTACCTCATCCATTATAGCAGCGCTGGATTTCAGCTCTTGCTCGATACCGGGATTTCAAGTCTCTTTTTTACATCTTTTACAAATGCGTTTCAAAGCACGACGCTATTCATTCAAATCCAACACAAAGTGCATGCGTCTCCGTACGTCCCAGGAACTTCTGCCCATCCATTGATATGTTAGAGTACGGAATGTTCGTGATCATCCGTGCACATCCAAGTCATCGTGTTCGTGTAACGAGCAAGAATTCTGCAATGCGTTACAAACAGTTTAGGCTGTGTCTTGAAGTGCCAGCTCTATTCAACTCAACTATTCATTGGCGGCTTGTGGAATTTGTGCACTTCCCAGTTGCGCTGTGAGATGTGGTGGTAGGCAGCTGTTAAGTGGAACTGTTTTTTATGTTGGTGTAATGACTAATTCTTTACGGGCAGAAAAAAGAGTGCAGATCGAAGCACACATTTACCGAGAGCCATGTTTTCAAAACAACCAAAGAGTGTACGAAAAGCAATAGAGAGGAAGATTAGCTAAAACTTAAGTGCAATACTGAGACGGTATCTTAATCCCCGTGATATATTGCGGTATCCTTCACACCCTCTCGAGCACTGAGAAATCCGAAAAACAAGAAGAATTCATGTCATTGTGAATATCTACTTTGACGATTACACTCGCTTTTAGTGATTTATAACGTTCCGTAGAATTAACTGATCTTGGTAACGCCCAAGGTCTTTCACAGGAACACTTTAAAAAAGTTGGGATACGCAGCTTTACTTCTAACACTACTCGACCTCTAAATGGTACTTTCGACAGCAATAACTGTAATGAGGTTAGGGAAGAGGCTGAATCACAAGGAAGCCTCTGATAGTAACAGAATCAACCACAACACCCTTCCGTCGAACGAGCAATTCATCTTGCATTACTGTATTTACTTGTAATACAATTCATTATGTATTATTATCTTGTATTGATATTGTAGAAAACTCGCTGTTCATGCAGTTTCTAGGGCTATGTCGGCTTGAATGGGTTAGCAAAAGGCGAAGAGTGGTAGGGGTGCCGCACAAGGGGAAAATTGTTCGTTTGCCGGCATTTGATGACAGAATTTCTGTCCAAATTTTTTCTATTAAAATTCATTGGAATGGCCCTCATTTGGAAGCGAGATGTTCAATTTCGGATATGTCCATCCCCAGCTCCTCTATATAGCAATATTAAGCATGAAAGACCACACCTACGTTTGATTCCATTTAGACATGAGCATTAGCCTGTTTACAACCGACAGGCGTGCTGTGCATTTTTTTGGATATAGAAGAAAATCGTTTGTTTGAGCCATTTGCAAATCACACCAAGCACCTGTCACCTGCTGAGTGTTGGCATATGTTGTCCCGTTGATCATTGATTTCCTCAAGGGAATTTCATTCACTGGTCTCTGTCGCTGGAAAAGGTAGCTCTACATTATGGGTACAGTATGGGCGCACACAGTGCTTTATTTTGTTGAATCAGAAATTTTTGTAGTGCATGGGGTTACATCGCTATGATCATTATGATTTTTTTGACACCCAGAGAGATCCAGTCCTGGTCCATTCCTGAATTGACCGATCCAGTCTACGAAACCATTTTTTGACATGAGTTGAGCTTACCAGGTAACCTCTTATGAACGGAGCTTGGAACATCGAATTTCTTAATGCGTTTGCAAAAATCAGGGAGAATCAGGTGCATCACTCTCTCCACGAGGTGTTGAATAACAGTCTGCATAATCATTGAAAGCTGTGCAGCTCGCTAGTA